AAGCTAAACTAACCCACAGCCCAAACACATCTCAAACCAACAAACAACAACAAATGTCCTTTTAACAGAGATGGGGAAGCGAGCGTGACGCAGCTTTGCATATCACGCCCCTAAAACACCATCAGAAATGCAGAGCACAGTATTAAACAAGCCACAGGCCACAGTATAAAACAAGCCATTAAATGTCCGAGCTTTACTCGTGGCATTTTCACCAACACCACAAGACCTCAAATATCGCTCACTACCAATACTCTCAGGACGGATGAAGTCCAGCTGAGTTAAAAGCAAGTGAAAAAAGAAAATTAAAAGTAAGAGAGAGGAATTAAGGAAATAATAGATTGTGGAGGTCCGTTCCTTAATTAACTGCTCTGGCATTCTCTCTCGCAACCTAACCTCGATTTCCACCCAGGTGCCCGCAGAGGCCTTCGCCACAAAATTAAGTTCGGAACATTCAGATGGTTAAAAATAATAAAGGCAGAAAGGTCAGCCAACAGCGGGTAACTCAGACAGGTGTAGTGGAGTGTGGCACCACATTCACTGGGAAAGTGCGCACATAATGAAAGATTAAAGAGAAACTGAGAAAAGAAGGTTACAAGAGAGATGTGACCTTACTTTAAAAGCCAGTCGTATGGACAGATATTAAGATATCATCAGCTTCTACCGGTCACTAGTGTGCTGAGCTCTTAAGTGGGGTTTGAGCGGTGAATAAGACGAGTATAAATCCAATAGACAACGGCCTCCAGCTGTCTCAATTGGGACTTTTCTCTCTCTAAGACGAGGACATTTCCGCTTGCCCCAGGGCCGCTGGATAACTGACCTATCCACGTGGGAGTGCCACAGCCCACTAGGCTCATTAGTGAGAGATTAATTGATTAATTAAGAAGCAAATTAAGGGGCAAGCATAGTAGCACTTCATTAAGCCTAACCAGGATTGTAATGGCAGTTAACGCTGTCAATCTTTGATGTGATGTTTCTGAAACTCTAGGGATTGAGCACTGCATATGAGAGAGAGAGAGAGAGAGAGAGAGAGAGAGAGAGAGAGAAAGAGAGAGAGATGCATACGGGAGAGTATATAAGCCAGTGATTATATCTCTCTCTCGTTTTTTCTCATTGCCTCACAGCCACACCAATAAATTATGAATGCTTATTAAAAAAGGGCAATATTCAGCATCCAAAATAAACTCAGACGCAAGATGCAAGAGACACAAAAGCGAGATAAACAAAAAGTGCTGAGAAGCATTGAGAGAATATCCACCTCCCAACACTCTCACACACACACACACACTCACACACACACACTCACACACACACACACACACACTCTCCCTATGGCTCACTCCGGTCCTCTGAGGACTTTCCGATATGCAGATAACTGCAACACAATTCTGAAGATGCAGCTTAGCAAAACTGAGCAGGCACTGCTGAAAAGTCTGTTCTAACAGGGATCTTCATCATGCAAAATTAGTCTAATTAAAATATGACTTTAAAAAAGTGTAACCCTTTAATTGTCCAGACCCCAGACCCTGTTTAAAAGACCAAAAAACACACTTAACATTGTTTACCAGATTGATTCTTTCACTCATTTTATAACGACTGCTAATAAACATGATTTTGACTCTGTGACGTGTTTCAGAAGTCCTCTACATAAAATTATACACTTTTGTCAGGGGTTTTAGAGACCCCAGGTCTAAGACATGGTTAAATGTAATGGGTTTTCATATCGCTGCTGTTCTACAAAATGGTAACTTTACAGGAGAAGGAAAAAACCTACTTTACTTTTAATGTAAGCCAATGGAACCAGACTTTTTTCCAAGTCATTTTATGTCAAAAACGGAAAAACAACAAAAATGGAGATATGAGGTTTTCTCCTGACAGCAGCGATATGCTTTGCTTCTCTGATTGGTGCTGTATATCCATTTGGACCGAAATTTGAAAAGACATAATGTATAATTTTGTCAAAAAACACATTTTTATTTCTTTAATAAAAGTGGTATTAATCATGTTATACTAAAAGTGCATTGATGTTTTTGTTTGTTTGATGCCCACTCACAACAACGTACATCAAGAAAAAAAAAGAAAATCCATGAAGGTGGTGTTCAATGTGTTTAGAACATTTTGTTTACATATAATACATAAACCATTAAATATTATATTATTTAGTCTAATGATAATGTTTTTTTTTTAATTTACAGGTTTCTCTATTATGCACATTTCAGAGCATCTGTCTACTTTGTAGCAAAAGAAAAGGTTAAAGCTTAGTAATTTTCTGCCGAGTGGGTATTAATTTGATCAAAAAAAGGAAAAATTGTAAAATCTTTATTATTATCATTACGTTTACACTCACAACACTGGGTCTCTGCATCCCCAAACAACAAAGAAGCGAAGCCAGTCACAACAAAACATGAAGATTAAAGGAGAGGATGGTGGCGGGACAAGGGTTAAACTGTACTCGGCTGGACTGCAGTGTGCTTGCTGAAAATGATCACAGCCAAGGGCCAGGCTTAATCCACAACACATCAGAGAGATGCCGCAAAGTTAGTTTACTGACTCACAACATCATCGCAAGGAGCAATGTTGATCCTACTGGGGGAGCAGGAGGGGTAATCGCACTGGGACCGATGGCAACCTGGCCTCCTAAAATCTTTACTGAGGCTCGCATAAAGACACTCACACAACTGTACACCAATGTCTCAGAAAAAAGCCAATTTCTCAGCTAAATGACTCACCACTTAGCTCCCATCAACACTACACTGCCTGTCTATTTATCTCACTTATTCTTATTGCATCTCATCCATGGTAACCGTTTTCAAATGGATCCTTCACAATCTGACACATGATATATTTATTATTTATCTCAATCTTAAGTAGTAAGTAGTCAAACCTAATCATTTAGGTTAATGTTTGATGCTAATGGGTGGAGTGACATGTTTTGAGATCAACTTGTAAACAAGAAAATTAAATTTTTTTATTCATTTAAGTCATTTTTTATATTGGGGGGGCTTTTTTTGCACTTGGGCTCTTCAGACCCAAGTTACGGCACTGAAAAGGAGGTATCTTTCTTTGTACTTCCCATCTTCGCTGGGACAAAACCCATCTGAATTTGCTGGGATTATCTATGGCTTCATTCACACAGCAGGTAAAAGTGGCCCAAACCTGGTTTTCTCACAAAATCTGATTTTTTTTTGTTGGCCTGTTCATATTATCTTTTAAAGGTGACTAATATGCGACATTAGTCTGAACAGATCAGCTCCTAAACTGACCCGCACGCACAAAAGAACAATGCTTCACATGGCACGGTCATCCAGATGTAAACAGTCAAAATGGAGTCAACAGTAAGAGTCGCTCCCGGAGCTTTCAGGTTCATCTTCACCAGCATCACAGGAGCTAATAAGAAGTTCTGTGTTAAAGCTCGCTGTATAAAGGGCACACTGTTTAGCCACGGCCACTTATTTGGTCCTTGGTTTCTTTAAACTTTGCTTTCAGACATATAACTTATCTTTGACGCTGAAGCCTCATTCTCATGTGGCCGCGTTCGGCCATTTCTTTCAAAATCTCTCCGAACACAGAGCAGTGTCCTCTAATTTTGTTTGTACAGGAACATCATCCTAAATGTTTATGAGGTCTCAGCAGTGCGAAATGATGAGGAATGTCAAGTTGGATTGACGTAAAAGTCGCATGAATTCCAATCTGGCTGTTCAGACTAAGCCGTACTGCTGTATGTCGGATACGCATCGAATTTCAGCACCACATATGAAAGCGTCTCAAATCAGAGCTGAAAATGTCAGTTTCAATGCGTTTTTTGCTGTTCACACTGACACACAGACGACACATCTGTGTGACATATGAGGAAAAAGATCAGATTTGGTCCACTTTTACCTGCTGTGTGAACACAGACTATGTTTCAGATAGGATCACAGTGATACTCCAGGAAAAGTGCTACAACAATATAACGATGCAGTAAAAGTAGCCACCAAAGTTCAACCACAGTAAAAAAAAATATATACTAATAAACAAACATAAAACTTTCCAAGATACAAGATACTGCAGCAGTACATCCAGCATCTATCAGCATTGGAACTGACAGTTAATTAAAGAGGGAATTCACAGTGGTTTGATGTTAAATGGTTCACTGTAGAGAAACTTACAGACTGACTTTCTTTACAGTGGTGCTGATAGGAACCAAAAGAGCAATGTCCACAACGTAGATATGGACATTTTATTCACTATGCAAACCACCAGTGAACCTACACGCGTCTTCTGAGTATTTATACGGAATGCTGATGATAAAATAGCGCTCAGTCTGAAAAAATAAGATTTCTTTGTGGACTATTTTGCCTTAAAATGCATGTATCTCTCCACCATGAAATGGTTAAAAAATTACACCTAAAGCAAGAATCTTATCACAAAACTATTATAAAACAATGTTTTATGCATCAGGCAGCATATATCTAACCATTTGATGTAATAACTTTTTGAGAGGGAGCTTTTAGAGGTGGACGTCTGGTTCCTATCACCACCACTATGAACAATTTTGACTCTAAGTTTCTCAAGAATGAAGCATTTCACACCAAACCACTCCAAATTACTTGGTTTACATCTTAGCCATTTAATTATGCAGGAATTTTGAAAAAATCAGTGGAATTCCCCTTTTACAGCTGAATGTGAAGGATTAATATGGGACTGGGGAAGCAGATTCACATCCTCAGAAATACTTTGAGTGAAAGAAAAGGTAGCTATTAGCCTGTTATTGGCACTCAGTAGCCTCTGTACGTCCAAACTGTACAAACGTATATGGAACTGGATGAATCCTACTAGCTACTACCCAGTGACAATATTAAATGCAGTTAGAACCAAACTTCATCCAACAGCCTTATAATAACACACTGTGAGGTCGTGTAAATGATGGTAGAAGTGATCTCAGGAGGACTCTGAGCTGGTTATTGTGCTACATTATATCATTAAAACCCCTTCAGTTTCCACACACACTGCAGAGCTCTTACCGTAAACTCCCTGTCCTCGCGTGTAGCGGTGGATGACGGAGAACAGTAAGATCCAGAAAAGCTCCATGTTCAGCCGCGACGCCTCATCACCTGCGGAGAGCCAGAAGCGCGGTCAGCTCTCGGTGGGCTGCTACCGAAAAATGCAATTCATTTTCTCCAAACCTTGGATTATCTAAAGATTAGAGAGGCCGCCGTAGCCTGCGCTGGATTGACGGGATTGACTGAAGCAGGAGTTATTTATAAAATAGGCGAGCAGGTAGAGGAGAGGAGATTTAGGGCTGTTTGCTCGGCGTTGCTCGAACCGTCTTACTGAAGGATCGAGGGACACAAATGTTCTCTCTGAACGGGTGAACAGGAGGGAGACTGAGGGCGAACTCTCAATAATCTCGATTACAATGATGAACTTTCAGTCAGAGAAGTGACTTTCTGACTTACCCGTTCAGTAAAAAGGCACTTTTCAGCTATTAAGCGCGCGAGGACTGAAAGATTCCCGCCAAACGCTCTGCTCAGAATTTAAACTACGTCAGCAGAGTGAAAATAACGGACGTTTCGAACTTGACGTTAATGTTTTCGTTGGAGCCGTTGATAGAACGCAGCGTTTAAATCTTGAGCATTCTGAAAGGGCAACTCCACCGATTTTTCAGAATTCCTGCATAATTAAATGGCTAAGATGTGAACAAAGTCATTCAGAGTGGTTTGGTGTGAAACGCTCCGTTCTAGGGAAACTTGCCGAGTCAGAATTGTTCACAGTGGTGGTGATAGGAACCAGACGTCCACCTCTAAAAGCTCCCTCACAGAAGGTTATTGCATGGAATGGTTGTAAATACACTGCCTGATGTCTGAGACGTTGTTTTACGGTAGTTTTGTTTTAAAATATTGGCCTAAAACGTTTTAATCAAGTTAATTTCATCTATTCATGGTGGAGGGATACATGAAGAGTGTTCTAAGGCAAAATAGTCCCAGAAGAAAACTTTTAGTCACATTTACCGCTATTTTACCATCATCAACATTACATCTAAAAACTTAGGGACACGTGTAGGTTCACTGGTCATTTTGTTAATAAAATGGCTATATTTGTGTTGTAGACATTGGGACCTCTGGTTCCTATCGCCACCAGTGTAAAGAAATTTGAGTTGGCAAGTTTTCTCTGCAAATGAACCTTTTCGCTTCGAACCACCCTGAATGGCTCTGTTGACATCTCAATCACTGAATTGTGCAGATATTATTAAAATTCTTTCCGTTTGAAATAAAATAACAGGCAGACGCTGTGCGTGGGTTGTTAATTGGGCACCTACTATCACATCGAAAGAACCTTTCTTTTCAACAACGCGATCCAACCGATTCATAAGTCCGACTCAATCTGTGAATCTACCCTGTTTGGGTCGCACCTGCGCAGTCCGTGTGTATATATCCGAGTCATTCTGATGGATTTTAAACGTTTCTGGTGTAAAACAGGGAATAAAACACCCCGCTGTGAAAACTGTTTCTTTGAATCGGTGGAATCTGACGTTCGTTTGAACGAAGCTGACTTTTAGAAAGAACCGGTTCGGTGAAATGAACCGAACTTTCCATCACCAGCGCCTCGCACGCGCCTGCTTACTCTCCGCGCTGCGCGCTCTTCTGTGGGAGCGCTCGCTGTGCCTCGCACGCGCCTCGGAGGGACACTGACCGCGGAACGGCTGAACCGGAGAGAGTCTGAACCCGAACTCTCTCTGTTCTCCTCGGAAATAATAAACTTTCAGTCAGAGAAGTGACTTTCTGGCACACAAAAGGCGCCGGTCAACTGTATTTACGCACACATCGGGCGCGCGCGACGCCGAGTTCCCGCCAAGCGCTCTCCACAGAAGTACAAACTACGTCAGCAGAACGAAATGACGGTTACGAGGAGACGTTAAAGACCGTGTGAGGTGAGTAGCGGAGCAGTTCGGTGAGGCGGCCGGGGACGGAACGCCGCGTCTACGGCTTCGATATGCGAGTTTAAGTAAAAATAAAGTAAAAAGGGGGAAGAAAGAACAGATACTGGATATGGAGAGAAAGGTTCCGCGTGCCTGTTTACAACAAGAAACCGGTAACCATGACAAAACTGAGGAAAGGGCGGTTATTGACGGGCTACCAGTTTGTTTTTCACTAAATCTGAGGTGCTGTTTACTTCCAAAGAAAGATGTAAGGCGCCCGTCGTCTTACAACGGTTTGGTTCGTCTACACTTCATTGATTTCGTGGGTGTGGATTTCCACATCGAGTTCTCCAGGTTCTCCAGGGGTTCTTTAGTAAAGCTAATGGTTCTGCTTTGAACCATAAGTTCTGTATAAGACCATCTCATGCTTCAGTGGTTCTTCAGATTAATGAGCAAATGGTTGCAAATGGTTCTATACAGCACTAAAAAGCGTTCTTTTATTGTTACAAGCTTGACAGCGTAATAATAGCAGAACCCTTTTTGGTGCGACATAGAACCATTTTCAGAAAAGTTCTATTTAGAACCATATACAACACATTCTCCATCAATCTGAAGAACCATTTCACCGTGCAAAGGACCTTTGAGTTCTATATAGAACCATTGCTTTTACTAAAGAACCAGTAAAGAACCGTTTTAAGGAGTGTAACTCAAACTAAGTGTTCTGAGGGGACGAGATCTTACCTTCTTGTAAGGGAGCTCAGCGGGACCCCGCCGGTTAAAGTGGATCTACGACCCCACAGAGTTGAAATGAGAACCGGGGCTCGGCGTGTCAGAGAAATGTAGATGTAGTTCCCTTTAGGAAAAGAAACAGTCGGGGGGGAAAAGTCGAGAGCAACTCAAGAAGAGCTCGTGTGGAAGGTTTTCTGGCGAGGTTTCTTCCAAACGTGTGTTTAAACAGCGGCGTCTCCGCGGCTCATCAACAAGACAACAAACCCAGAATTCCTGCACATCCTTCCCAGAAAGTTTTCCTGGACGGAGGGAGCCTCCAGAACAGCACCTTACATCCACACGACAGCAGCCTTGGCAGGAGCAGCGGCTCGCGTTTTCTCTTCTTCCTCTTCTTCTTCTCTTTCTTTCCACTCGCGGCGAGGAGAAGCTTTGATTTCAGTCGTTTTCCTCAGACTCAGTCAGGCTGTAGTTTCCTCAGTCATCACTCTTCCGCTGGTAGGATTCTCTGAGAGACGACGAGAGAAAGTGAGACCTGCCTGTGCTCTCCCTGTTTGCCAGAGAGTGAGTGGGAGAGAGAGAGAGAGAGAGAGAGAGAGAGAGAGAGAGAGAGAGAGAGAGAGAGGGAGTGTGTGTGTGTGTGCTCGGACTGAGAACGATACCGAGTGAGATAGTCTGTGACAAGAGGCGGACTCCAGCATCGACGTGTTTTTTTCTTTTTTTTTCTTTTTTTCTCCCCCTCCTGAACAGTTTGAGGCTGACAGCGCGCGTCCAAAGAAACGATACCAAATAATCAGTAACTCTCCGCCGGAATTATTGCTTTTCGGTCACATTTGTTTGGAGTGACTCAGTTTAATAAAGCCACGCAGGTGCTGCGGACGGCTCGGAGAACTCTCCCTGCCTCCTCCAAGGACCAATTAAATAAGAAAAAGAGGGTGAGTCTGGATAAAGGGGGGTCACACGGTCTTTGCCAGCGCACCACCACCACCACCTCTCCACCTGACGCGCCCCCCTCCTCCCATCCTCCAATCCACCTCATCGCTTTACAGTCTGAACGCGGTCCATTTAATCAGTGTTGTGCGTGCGGTGGCCACAAGGCGGCGCGTTTTAGCTGCTTGTAACGGCCAGCCGTGAGACGAGCAGCCTCGCCCATATTCTGTGAGAAAAAGCCAATTCTGGACATGTTCGGGGTTTCAGTTCTGATTAGGCCGCAGTAAACAACCTTAAGTGGCACTTTAATGCTGGTTGGTGGCCAGTTTGGATGTAACGGTCAACAGAGATTAGAGTGGACTCTGTTTGTACACTGAAATAAAACGGCAAATTTACGTTCCGCACCATTACTGACTTCCTAGGGACTGAAGGTGGAGGTAGCCTCTCAACTTTCTTTCCTTCCTTCCTTCCTTCCTTTCTCATGCACACAATGAAACTTACCATAAAATTGGTTTGTCAGTTCAAGATAAAAATGAATTCATCTGATAACAAGCAAATTAACTGCTTCCCAAAAAAAGACTTTGAATCAAACAACACAAAGCAAAACGAATAGGTTAGATGAACAAAAGCAATCTTTTGCTTCAATTCAAACCTCAAAAACACAGTTAATCTTTGCCCTGTTTGACTTTTTACAGTGTAGGTTATTGTTGCCAGTAAACTCTCCCAGTGACCACCTTTATTTCTTTCTTTCTTTCTTACTCACACATTGAATGGCTTGTTACTGACACTTCTCCCAATGGTTTCTACATCTCTGCATTGATATTAATAGAAGCTTTTACTAGCACGCTTAGCAACATAGTTCTCTCCTGAAAAGGGACTGCCTTGGCAATGGCATCTCCACTTTCTGTCTCTCTCACTTACCAACTCGCCAAGTAAACCATGCGTGGCTGCTGCTATTCACAGTGGTCAATTTTACAAAAAAGGAAAGAAAGGAATATGCGCACTGGCTGATTTATCTGATGCGGTCCACTATTGCACTTAGATTTTGAATACTCCCTGTTTTTTTTGTTTTTGTAAATTTGTTTTTGAGGATTCACCAAGCACCATATAGGCTGCATATGAGGCCCATCTTTTTTACATTTTTACAAAATTTGAGATGCTGTTTTGTTCTACAGAAAGATGTTTCATCCACGAGTAATCATTTTACACTCCTACATGTCCTTGTTTTACCTTGGCTTGGTTTGTCTTTACTTCATAGATTTTGTGGGTGTGGATATCCACAGTAACAAAATGTTCTGAGGAGACTAAATCTTACCTTTTTGTAAGAGAGCTCGGCAAAAAAGTCTTAAAGTCAATCTACAACTCCACAGAGTTTAAATATGAACGTGTCAGAGAAATGTAGATGCAATTCCCAAAGAAATGTAGATGCAATTCCCCGAAGACAAAGTGGGGAAAAAAGTCAAGAGTAACTCAAGAGCTTGTGTGGATTGTTTTCTTCTGAGGTTTCTTCCAAACGTGTTTCCAAGCAGCGCCTTCACGGCAAACAAATTCAGAACTCCTGCACGTCTTTTCTAGAAATTTTCCTGGTGGAGGGAAGTCTCTTACAACCACACGACATTTTAAATCTTACATCCACACGACAGCATCCTTGGCAAGAATATGCGACTTGCATTTCGTCCCCTCTTTTTCTTCTCTTCTCTTTAGTAGTTTTGTTTTTGAAGATTCACTAAATGTCATATTTTCCAGCACAAAAAAACTTTTGCAAAAAAAGATAAATCACACTGGAGTTAAATAAATGTAAGACGGGGACTTTTCACTGCACCAGCTTTGAGAGCATTAACAGCACTGTGCTTCATGACAGGGAACTGCAATCCAGAAAATTTTCTCCCTCAGATCAAATCACCAAATGAAATCAATCACCTTTTTTCATGAGTCACTGTTTAGCAATTACCATGGCAACTGCCTGAGGCTGAGACATCTAAGAGCGGCCTATGCGCCTTGGGCATTACAGTAAGAACCACACATGCAGATAGTGTACAAGCAAAATTGTCCTTAGATTCATAAGGCCTGACCTTGGTACAGAATGGCAGGAAGGAATGAGGAATAAAATTTCCATACGATGACTCGGTAACAAAAGAGGCAAGAATAAGGATATAATGTCTTGTGAAAATATGAGAGGTGATTCTCTCTCTCTTTCTCCCTCTCTCCCTCTCTCTCTCTCTCGTAAATTTTTTGTTTTGGGAGGGCAGCCAGTTTCCCTGGCACAGGTTGCCAGAAGAGTATCATGCAGGCTTGGTGTAGTTCACCGCTTCACAAATGGGTATACAAATTTGGCATCCCCTGGCTGGGTGGCAGCCATACCAGCCATGCCCGCTGTGCCTCTTGGGGCTCTTTCATCCTCCCGACTATGCCCGCGTGTACAGCAGGCAAAGCAGGCAGCCGGTCCCCAGGAGACTAGAGTCAAGCGTTCTTGGAACCCAAATGGAATGCTCCGGCAACACATGCCACCATGTAGGTTCATGCCTTCTCTTCCAAACTGTTGCCACTGCTAGCCCAAAATGAACAGCTAAGGATGCTTGTATGTCTTCAAATATTTTTTTCCCGAATAAACAAAGTTTTAACAAGGCTTTTTAATAAATGCAAAAGTTTTTTTTTTCCTCAGTCTTGGTTAAAAAGCCCAATGTGTGCTATCTTAACAATGAGGCCACATTAGAAAGGTGTGAAAAGTGTTCTTTGGAATGATGCCATAGAACGAAGGCCTGCTCTTTTTAGGCATGCATTTTTCAACCAAATGCCAACTGCTGCATCTGTGGCGTACGATTGATTACCATGGATAATAATTTCAAAGTTTTTTTCCTGTACTCTGAAAAGAACCAATTGCCACAAAAAAACCCTTTTTATAGAAGCCAACAATTAGCAATAAATATAAATAAACCAATGCCTATTGGCTAGCATGAAAAATGCTGGAGTATTCGTCCACTAATAGGTTCCTTAGGGAACTAAAGGTTGGATTGTTCCAATTTTGGCACTTTTATTAAGTGCTGCTAATTACTTAAAAGTCAGTAGAGGTTACAAACACAACTTACTGAAGAAATTTAAAACATAAGATTGTCATTTAACTTATGTTAAGCTGTATCGCATATCTCCTGTCATTATACAAATCAACCACAGTTCACTAAAACTAGTATTATACAGGCTACTGCTGGCCAAAGGACAGAGTGATAACAAGAATTACAGAAGAAACAAAAAAGAAATTCATAATTGGTAACCAATTAACCATATACCAGTTAATCATAAATGCTGAGGAAGGAGCTGGTTGAAAGTAGGTGCATGTCCTCTGAAGTGAGATTCAAAGCTATTGGACATGTTAAGACTGAACTACCAAATGAATGATTGAGAAGATTGTGCTAGTTTAAGTCATTTTAAAGAGATTTCCACATAACTTCAGAGTTTTAACAGGCCTCTATTATGATTATGCTTTAGTTATTTCAGTTGTTCTGTACACATTATTTGTCAAAACACCCAGCTTCCCCCTGTCACTTAGCCACTGTTAAAGGTTATTTTGGTATCATTCAAAGTGAAAACTGGGTCTCCCCCTCACCAGTCCTTTAAAAAACTAACAATACATTGCACTCCTGACCCATCTGGAGCATCTGCTTCCTGCTGTTCAAATTGCCTTAAAATAAAATTGAAGAGTTGACTTTTTCTTTTCTCTGTTGACAGTATGGCACAGCAAAAATAAACAGCTCTTCATCGATTTGGGGTGGGGGGTGTTTGTGGGTGGCTGGTGGAAGAAAGAAAAAGGAAAGTTGAAAAGATTCAACACATATTTCAATCCTAATGCTAATTGGCACTAGCATTAGCTAAAAATCGAATTAACATAGTTTTCCCCTTACCTTAAATGTTGTCTGTCAGCCTAGACATGTTTCATTCCAAAGTTTGCTTGTTTAGTTTTGCACTAGAGCTGCGAGGTTATTGGAAGCTATAACCCACCAATTAGCATTGTGCAAACAATACACCTAAATTATCACACACTTTAACCATATTGAGTTGTCACATAATCTTGAATTTGTGGTTTATGATGCTGTATAGCGTTATCCATTAAAAATTTACAAACCTATGTTGCATAGCTAGAACAGTAGTACTAGTCTGTTCATTGGTAGTTCTCTCTTTAACCTTGTGGCTGCAGTTCAACACTTTCTTGCCAAATTGTCCTTTCAAACATTAGGCATGGTGGGGGCAGGTGTGGTGCCACATTTACCTGCCAGGTGGGCTTAGGTAGAACGGTCAGATGTGGTCCATCTCTTTCCACATGTAGGAGGCAGCAACTGCAACTTGTCAGTGCCCACGGCGGTGACCATTTCTCAGTAGGCTAATCTGTGGGGCGGTCGCATGGAGATGCCCTTGGGAGGCAATACTTCATAACCTCCTCACAGCCAATATCGGAAACAAGGAAACGCGCTGAGACAAGAGGTATGCGGA